GAAAAAAAATGTATGCAAATCTTCACTTGAGGGGGGAGGGAAGGATGGAGAGAACGAAAGAGGGAGAGAAGGAAAGAGGGAGAGAGAGGGAGAGGGAGGGGAGAAAGAGAAAGAGAAAGAGAGAAAGAGAGACAGAGACAGACACAGACACAGACACAGACACACACACACACACACACATTCTCTCTCTCTCTCTCTCTCTCACTCACTCACTCACTCACTCACTCACTCACTCACTCACTCACTCACTCACTCACTCACTCACTCACTCACTCACTCACTCACTCACTCACTCACTCACTCACTCTCTCTCTCTCTCTCTCTCTCTCTCTCTCTCTCACTTTCACTTTCACTCTCTCACTTTCACTCTCTCTCTCTCTCACTCTCACTCTCACACTCACACTCACTCTCACACTCACTCTCACTCTCACACTCACACTCACACTCACACTCACACTCACACTCACACTCACACTCACACTCACACTCACACTCACCCTCTCTGTCACTCACCCTCTCTGTCACTCACCCTCTCTGTCACTCACCCTCTCTGTCACTCACCCTCTCTGTCACTCACCCTCTCTGTCACTCACCCTCTCTGTCACTCACCCTCTCTGTCACTCACCCTCTCTGTCACTCACCCTCTCTGTCACTCACCCTCTCTGTCACTCACCCTCTCTGTCACTCACCCTCTCTGTCACTCACCCTCTCTGTCACTCACCCTCTCTGTCACTCACCCTCTCTGTCACTCACCCTCTCTGTCACTCACCCTCTCTGTCACTCACCCTCTCTGTCACTCACCCTCTCTGTCACTCACCCTCTCTGTCACTCACCCTCTCTGTCACTCACCCTCTCTGTCACTCACCCTCTCTGTCACTCACCCTCTCTGTCACTCACCCTCTCTGTCACTCACCCTCTCTGTCACTCACCCTCTCTGTCACTCACCCTCTCTGTCACTCACCCTCTCTGTCACTCACCCTCTCTGTCACTCACCCTCTCTGTCACTCACCCCTCTGTCACTCACCCTCTCTGTCACTCACCCTCTCTGTCACTCACCCTCTCTGTCACTCACCCTCTCTGTCACTCACCCTCTCTGTCACTCACCCTCTCTGTCACTCACCCTCTCTGTCACTCACCCTCTCTGTCACTCACCCTCTCTGTCACTGGTCTGGAGGTGAATTAAATTTAATCCTGGAGGCTGCCATTGCACATGCACACGTGAGAGCTAGGATAATGTGTATCAGTTTGTGGTTTACACAGACAAAAACTAAGGATTTATATTTTTATTACAACCAACATAAGGTAGAACACTAAAATCTCTTGAATAAATTAATTAGGATATCAATATGCATATACAGAATAATGGCACATTACAAATATGAGATGTTCAAACGCCCTAGGAATTTTTGAGCATAAAATGTGGGCACTCATTCTATACTAAATAAAAAATATGAAGCTCCAAATTTGCATTGGTTGCTGAATAGTCTGACAAACTATTCTGAGATATGTGAAAGATTTTATCATAGCTGTCTTTTATATGAGTTCCCAAAATGACTAAGGAAATTAAGAAAATAAATAAATAAGTATATAAATAAAAAATCTGAAAGATAAAAAGAAAAGAAAAAAAGTATTTGTAAAAATACATCACAGACTTGATTGCACCTTGGAAAACAGATAATCTTCTGTCCTGCAGTCACAACACTAATCATAAATTCACAATCATTGGTCTCAGGTAAACATAGCAATGTTACATAATATTTAAACTCCATTAATTTGCATACATCAGTTATAAAATTGATTTGAGCATTAATATAATGATAATTTTTATTACTTTTCTGTTTAAAATACAGAAAATTGGAAAGAGGTGAGAAAAACTTGGACCTTATTTAGTGTCAGCATAATATGAAAATCCACAATTTTATTTAGAATTATCTTGAGTATCCATAACTATAAGAAAAAAAATGTATGCAAATCTTCACTTGAGGGGGGAGGGAAGGATGGAGAGAACGAAAGAGGGAGAGAAGGAAAGAGGGAGAGAGAGGGAGAGGGAGGGGAGAAAGAGAAAGAGAAAGAGAGAAAGAGAGACAGAGACAGACACAGACACAGACACAGACACACACACACACACACACATTCTCTCTCTCTCTCTCTCTCTCACTCACTCACTCACTCACTCACTCACTCACTCACTCACTCACTCACTCACTCACTCACTCACTCACTCACTCACTCACTCACTCACTCACTCACTCACTCTCTCTCTCTCTCTCTCTCTCTCTCTCTCTCTCTCTCACTTTCACTTTCACTCTCTCACTTTCACTCTCTCTCTCTCTCACTCTCACTCTCACACTCACACTCACTCTCACACTCACTCTCACTCTCACACTCACACTCACACTCACACTCACACTCACACTCACACTCACACTCACACTCACACTCACACTCACCCTCTCTGTCACTCACCCTCTCTGTCACTCACCCTCTCTGTCACTCACCC